CCCCAAAACCCCAAAACCCCAAAACCCCAATTTCACCTAATTTCAATAAATGATCAGCAGAAAATTACAATTAATGTTCAATTAATATGATGCAATTCGTATATAATGTTCAATCAGTTAGACTATTTTTTAATTATAAATCTGGGTTACCTTTTCTGCGGTACACTCGTATTTTACAAGCTCTATTATTGCTGCTATTACTAATAGCTATTGTTTGTCTAATTGCCAAGAGAAGGAATTTAACTACTTCCATTAGTCTTAATGGAAGGATTATTAGGTTACAATCTAAACCTCTCAAGAAACGTGTGATTGATTAAACTATTTGGGTTATTTACTGCTGCCTAAGGAGTGCAGTTTTAATTGAAACTCACATTTATATGTTGAAGGTCTAAGTTTTAGCCTTTCTAATTGTTGTTGTCTTATGGCAATTTTTGTTTGCTTTGGTTATCTAATTTAGCAAAGAAAGAATGCTTTATTGAGATATCAGATTGTCCAAGCTTTTCAAGGTTATTATTATTATTATTTGCAGGAATAGTCTAATATTTTTCATTAGTATCAGCATGCTAGATGATTGCAGTTGATGACATGTGACTTGTGGTTTTGGTATGAATAGTAGTTTTAGCTTAGGTGTCAGATGCACATCTCGAGTTTAATTTAGAGGTTGCAGCTGTTGCCATAATATTTGTATTTATTTTATCAATGTTAGTTTTTTCTAGGACTTCTTTCAATTTTTGGGCAGCTTTCTAAGGCGTGATATTTTTTTGAGTGTGCTAGGATAGACTTCTTTGCTCTACTATCATTTTTTATGATTATCCGATTAAGTTGTCTAGGTTAATATGTTTATGTCTATTCTGGGTGATAACATGTGATTGATCTAAAGCAGATTTATTATCTTATTAATCTATCTGTTAAGCTAATTAATTGAGATTAATAGCTAAAGTTCTCTTTACAGAAGAGTCTTATTCTGGTCTTGCTTGCTCACTTACTGGTCTTGATGATTTATTTTATTAATTAAAATTGTCAACTCTAACATCAAAGTTATTAGGAGTACTATTGTAGCTTTCGATTGCCTTTTCACTTACATAGAAACTATTCCTATCAAAATTGTCTAGATGTATATCGCTTTTTGGAATAGAGTATCTATATCCATCGGCTATAGCAGACCTAGTATCACTAAATGTCCCTGGCTAAAATGTTCCATTTGAGTTATGAGATGTATATGACTGGTGATCTAAAATGTCTTGAGCAGGCTGTTAATCAAAGTTTGCAGTCATATTCAAGTAAGATCCCTATCTCTTCCTTCTTCTTATTTCTTAGGTGTTACTGCTATAACTAAATGGTGATTCTAGTATAGACGCTGCTATTTTTTCCCCCATTTTGTATTTCTCTAGTTCATTCTTCAACGTTGAAATCTCTTAAACCTTTTCCTAGAGAATAGCTTCAAAGGTATTGGTTATCAGATTCCTTTGGATCAATTCATCCTTTACGAATCTTAATAAAGCCCTATCGATAATTTGATAGTTTTGATACAGATATGATAGATGTTCTTCTGATAGCAATGACCAATTTAAAAGCTCCAAAAGATCATTTAGCTGATATGAAGGGTTTTCTCTTTACCAAAAAAGGATCATGTGTAAAATATGATCCTCAGAGTCAACCTGACAGCAATCACTCTTAATTAAAGTTCTGAATTATTAATAGCACAATTTAGCTATTGAAGGTAACTAATAGAGCCTTCTTAAATTAGATGCAGAGTAATACTAAAATGCTGTCATTACAAAATCTACTCGGAAAATGATTTTCAATGTTTGCTAGCCTGTGGTAGCAAAATTCTCTGGAAACTTTATCTTTGTTAGCAATTATGAGCTTAATGGATTCAATGTAAAGTATTACATTTACAGTTGCTCTGATTGTTTAAAGTTCTATTAAAGCTATACTTCAGCCAAAACTGTGATTGGAAAACCTGAATGTCTAATCTAGCTGCATTAACTTATCTACAATCTTGAGTTTGAGGTTGAGAGACTTTGACTATTTATAAGTTCAGTTTTGGCTTCTCTTAGATTCTAATTTGATGAATTGCTGGAGTTAACTTTTGAATCTGATGTCTACCGATACGAATTATTCATGGTTGGTATATTTTGGTGCGATGATTGATTAGACATGCTCAGATTGGCATTTTCATTTTTCTAGCCTTTATTTTGATTGGGTTGTCTTTGTTTATTGGCTAGTCTGTTTATTGAATGCATGTATGACTGACTTTGATTCTAATTGCTATGCTTTTTCTAAGTTGATGTTTGTGGTCTTTATTGAGAAATGCTCTTTTGGCTATTGTTGTAACTAAGCATCTGTGATTAAGAATTTCTCTTTACATATTTTTCATATGACTTTTGGTTCTGAGGAGATAAACTTATTTATTTGTTTAATATACTTGCTGAGCTATCATTGTCACTTAGCAAACCCACAAATATTTAAAATTCTTTATTAGCATGATCAACCTGAACTGTGAATTTCCAATCAAGCTCATCAATTCGAACAGGATCTGAGTTATAAATATTTTGATTGGGCTTTAATTGCACATTCCAATCTATATAGGATTTTTTCTTTTGCTAAGCCTATTGCTTTCTGATCTCCCCTTCACTAACGGTAAACTAGATGAAATCAGTTACAGCAGCAGCCTATGATGATCCTTTGATGTCTTTGAGGATTTCTACAGCTTTTTCAAAAACAGATGATGACTTGATTCCATTTATGATTTGATGCTTAAAATAACGTTCAAGAACTTCTTTGGTCACATAGCTATTCTTTAGTTCTGTTAGTTCTTAAAGTCCATTCAAGTTGCTAATATTCACTGCACACCCGTTTATTGACCGTTAAATCAATGTGAACCAGCAGTCCTTGCAGTTGCTATTATTTTATTTTTGGCAGTTCTAGATTTTCTTCAAAGCCTCTTTGATATTGATCTGTGCATTTTCCGGAGTAATTTCTAGGTTTTAAATGCAGAAGTCGATTGCAGCTTTGCATTGAAAGAAATCTGCTATTTACAACAAATTATGTACTATTGAGCCCTCCAATTTTTTATCAATGCTTTACTAGGATCCTTTAACAATAAATCTTGCTTGTTTCATATTGTTTGATTCTTGTGCTTTTATTTCATGGTCCTGAATGAATTATAAAAACTTTACAAAAGCCATCTTAGTCATCCACTTGGGCAATAGTATCCTCACATTCTATCAATATAACATTTATTTGAAGGATAATTTACTTTGGAAGGATCTAGGTCTTTTACAAGTGTCTAGATATACTAAGAATAGTTGATGAGAGTTTATTTGTTAAAAAAGATTTCTTCATCACTGATTACAAAGCATATTGTCTTTTTTTCCTCTGCCATAATACTCTCACTGAAAAACTCTTAAGGTTTTTAAGCATTCTATTCAACCTAACTTATTTTACTTGCTTGGATTTGCTTTTGAGTTGGATTATTATGCTAACTATATTTTTATTGGAGAAAAGAGTTTATGTTGATCATCATTTTTATGTCTCAATTCTTTATTTCTAATAATTTCTTCTAATTTTGAATTTAACCAATCGAATATTATTTAGTTTTATGGGGTTTTGGGGTTTTGGGGTTTTGGGGTTTTGGGG